GCCTAATGCGCACCACTCACTGCGCCGCTTCCCGCGGATGGTCAAGAATGGACATCGTGAGTAAAAAATGGCACGGCGGTCTGGACCTCTCCAGCCGCTCGCCGCGTAAATGACCAAATTTACCGCATAATTAAAACATTTCATTCTGGCAAGGCACCGCGTAAATGGCCAAACGCGTAAACAAAAACCGCGTAAATCTAGACTATACTGGATATGAGAGGCAAGTTTTTTTTTGTGATTTTGATAATTTGGTAATACTGTATTCTCAGTTATTATATTGCAAACTGCCTGAAAGAGGAAGAGGTGTACTGTACAGTACTATATCTGCTTGACCAACGCATAGTGTAATTGCAGACTTGACAGGATTAACTTCATGCTTCACTTTATACCAAAATACAGCAGGAGATTCCAATCAAATATATGAAGGAATTGGGGCAATATCTCTTTTTAAATAATATGGATGAAAGCTGAAATAATGATTTAACTTATTTCAAAATGTGAATTATTACTCAATTAGCCATTTTGCCCTGACCCCATCATATCATGCAGTGGTGTAATTGGTCATGATAAAAATTAACTTTACAGTACAACACTAGAGTATCTTTTTCTTTTTTTAGGGAAGTATTAGGGAAAGCTTTGGTAGTAAAGAATCAACTTGAGAGAGGAACAAGCAAGAGGTCCAGTCTCCTCTTATTTTCAAGACTGACAGACTAAAATAAAACATACTTCAAAGAGAAAGAAGAGGTAATTCATAAACTGTTATTTGTTTCTAATAGTATGCGATTAAAATGATCCGTAAAATGTCTGATTTTGAGCTTGTCTTCATGGAATAATTTGCACCGGGAGTATTACCATCATGCTTGATTTCACGAGTGTACATAATTAATAAGATTGCATTTGATTAATCAAATTGGGATACATAAAAATAATATACATTATACAGTATTACATTTTGGGGTACAGTCAGCAAAACTTTACGAAAAGTTCAACTTATACTCCATGAAATGGTGATGCACATTTTACATAGCTAGGCATCTACAGTATAGCGAATCTGCTGACTCACCTCCCATGCAGGTATTTAACTCTTGTTAGGAGATCTGCATGGCCCGAGGAATATTGTTCTATAACATCTTTTACATCATAGGGTTTTAGGGCCTCTTTGAACTTACGTCTGGCTAGGAAGTACCTAATCTGAAGAAGGGAGAGAGAGTACGACAGTTTAGGACAGGGGAATCAAGGACGTCCAGGACCTTTTAGGTTATTTTCCAACCGTGTTTAGTTACTGAGTAAAGTTGGTCGTTGTTGTATTTAATGTTCATTAATCAGCACCTTGTTTATTTAGCCGAGATGTTATCCTTTAGCTTATGTGAGTAGCAAAAGAGATGTACCAAACATTTTAAAAGTAAGCTCCAAATACTCATCTAAAACGGTTAGAAAATCCACTGCAAAGCTGGCAGTTGTGAGGTTAGGTTGGTAGAGGAAGTACTATGGCAGCTTGCACAGGGGCAGGATCTTCTCCGTGCTATGTCCTTTTGTATAATAAATACAAATGTCCCATTTGTCCAATTACCTAATAGACATATGTGACACTTATGCAATTTAAATCCTGTGTCAAGATTTAAAGAAATCAGAAATGAAGTAACATAATTTTATGTGGAGTTCTACTGTCACATCTGGTTAGCATTTGGCTAAATGAAGTGTCTTAACATCTGGATTACTCAGACAACGAGTTTAAGCCCATTGTAATACCACCAGTTGGGAAGCTTAAAAACACGTACATACAGTACTCTATTACTACATGCTGGCGCCAGCTTTACCTGGAGGTATTACGCAAGGAAAAAACTTGGTGAAGATCTCCCTACAAAAGAAAATTAATAATGACAAAACTTATAGTTTTGCTGCTGGCCAGGGGTGCATCTTATGAAGGAAGCTAAAGGCAAAATAGCTTAATAAATCTGGAAGGCAATTTAATATTCACGAAAACATCTGGAAATAAAGGGGATTAATTTGGTGGTAATTATACGGATTTTATTCTGACGAATCAGAGGGTCAATATGTATTTATTGCATTCATGAAATTATATGAAAGAAAAAAAAAATATTACAAATAACATAAGATTGGCATCACTTAACAAAACGCTTGTCTTTTTACTGAAATTTTTTGCTTTTTAATTAAGGAGAACTGCTGACAAGGTCTCGATTAAACAATACCCAAGTCAGAAAGTCGAAGGTCAATTAGGCCAGAAGTAATGCTGAACTTGTGTTCTCAAAGGATACATTTATGTAGCATAAGTTAAACATTCCAAAAAAGCTTTCTACATTTTTTGGATGATTAAAAGACCAAAGGATAAAGATTTTAAGTAAATAATATATATTTAACACAGTAAACTACTGAGGTATCATATGAAAAAGTACTGTATATACAATATTATCCCCAAATTAGCAAGAAGAGTAATGTATCCCCGCCAACTTCTATTACTCCCTTCTTCCTTCCCTCTTTTTCCCTCCCTCACACTCCTTTGCATCTTCCTCTCTCTCTTTCTCATTTCTCTCTCTTACATCTCTGTATTTTCTAAATCTCATCCTAGTTTCTCTTCTAAGTAAGGAATGAACTTGGCCAATATTTAACACCTGGTATTTGTCATGATGGGGATTTATATACTGTAATAACGATATTAATAAGAAATTGTTACTATTTCCTGGATTCAAAATATATGCACAATTTCCCTACTGCCTACCGACACCCTCAAAAGCATTTCTCTATACTGTAATGTATATTTGCAGGATAGCTGTGCCAGACCAATATTTGGGGTCAAATGTGAATTTCAACAAAGAAAAAAATTAGTAGAAAAGAAAGACTTTTCTATGGTAGTGCTTCCTAGGGAGCCCAAGTGGACTACTCGCTTATTTATCCAGATATAACTTAAAATACTGTACACTATACCTAAACATACTTCTGTTAGGGTTCTCTCCATCTTACCTTGATAAACAAATTTTCCTTTGAGAACACAAGTCATATGGAGGGAGTGTATTAGTCATGGTCAGTAATGTTGCCCCCCACCTCAATAATGCAGTTCTGTTTAAGAAAGTCTATTTTCAGAACAAGATATATTCATAAGCTTCTTTACCTAATTGCTGCTGCAAGTATTATCAGCAGTAGTCTAGGAGCTACAATTTCCAAAAGATGTTACTATAAAAGTACCATCATGGAGCTACCAATGCACTGCTACAGTTGGTGGCTGCTACAACTACGGAGTTGAATTCAAATTCAGCATACAGTACAATACTATCACAATGCCTTCTGTGTGCACACTGCAATTTATTTAGATTATCAAACCATTTTCAAAAGAGCATAGATACATTGAACGACTTTTACAAATATGCAGAGAACTGTTTAGATAGTGGGAATCTTGAGGCAGGCCTTTTTCTGATGCTCAAAAATCTTTTAAATATAGAAACTGGCTCCCTCTAAAGCTAAAAAAAATAGCAACATGCTTCTTTTAGTAATGCCAAAGAATGCTGTCTCTTAACTGACTTACTCCATATTATAAGTAAACTGATCACATGCCATAGAAAACTTCAGTACTGTACATTAAAGGAAAGGAATTTTTGTGGGCTAGAATAAATAATTATGAGTCATTTCAAATGTTATGCAAAGGCCACTCAAAATTTTAACTATACACACTATATATATATACAACTAGACCCCGACTTACGACTGCTTCGACTTACGATCGCCGCAGTTGTGACCATTTTTTTTTCAATTTTTTTTTTTTTTCAAATGACGCACGCATTTTCTATACCGAAACGTTTCCAGTTAATGTAGTCTCCATGTATAATTAGAAAATTATGGGGGCCCCATGTGCATTCAGCTGACTACATTAAAGGTAAGTGCTCAGTCACACTGTATCCATTCCTTATTATTTATTACTTTCACTGTACTGTATCCATTCTCATTATTATTACTTTTACTGTACTGTATTTCATTGTAGATTTTTTATCTATGTCGGACTTACGACCTGGATTTGGGTCCCTAACCCCGTCGTAAGTCGGGGTCTAGTGTGTATATATATATATATATATATATATATATATATATATATATATATATATATATATATATATATATATATATATATATATATATATATATATATATATATATATATATATACAGTATATATATATCTAGTGAAACATTACTTAAGGAAAACTCAGAAGAAAAAAAAACTCACAGGTATAATGTATTTTCCAAGCCACAAAAATACCCCCTTCCACAGTTATAGGTTAAAGAATTGACCTTAGCAGCACACGGTAGACAAATGCATGGACAAAAAACCATAACTTGTGCAGAGTCCTACACATAGATGATTTAATTATCATAAGCTTTCAGAAAATGAGAACTACACTGTAATTTCATTGCTCATTGCCTACAAATTTCTAAAATTCATATAATTTTCTGCTACCAGAGTGAGGTAGTGGTGTAGTGTAGAGTGAATTTGCACAAAAGAGGGTACTATTACACTGTTAGTGGAGGATGAAGGCTTTCACATGTTGAAATATGTAGAAGGAAAGGAAGATAAAGACATGAAAGAGAATTTAAAAAGGCAATTGTATACATAAGAGACAAGTAATAAGGGAACTATAAGCAATAGAAAGATACAAAAAATTGTAAGTATAATTAACTAAAAAAGATGGAAATACTATATATATATATGTGTGTGCGTGTGTAATATTTGAATCTGAGATATAAATGTTTAATTGTTCATGTACATCCACACAAGGCTGTGGTATTTGTTTGGGGTTGTGGTGCTCAATATCATTTTCCTCTCCAATAGAATTTGTAGGCAATTAGACTACTATACACCATATCTTAGTGACATACTGTAACGATATTCTATTTGCTTCCCTATGCCTAAATTAATGTGCAAACACATAGATATTAAAGTGTGACAAGAAAGAAGAATCATTGAAGTGGTTGTTGTGGGTCAGTTCGAGTACCTCCCCTGGAGAGTCTTGACACGGGACAGAAGATCGACGTGCCCAGCTGAATACTGCTCAATCACATCCTTTACGTCGTATGGCTTCAGCGCTTCCTTAAACTTGCGCCGGGCCGTGAAATATTTGATCTATACCCAGGAAGGGAGACTAGTTAGTGTGATGGATTGTAAAGAGGATAGAGCTTTTTTGTAGAATGTAAAGGTCCACATAATCTTCAAAGTCTACAAAGACAATTTGCTGTGACTAAGAAATGCGGTTCCTTTAAATCTGGGGACAGTATAATGGGGAAGAAACAGTGAAAAATACAGTTCACATGGTAAAAACTATACACATATCATTGCTATATTGACAAATTCAGCTCAACTGCCACATGTAAATTAAATTATATGCTATTTATACCAACAATCAAGAATATATTAACTCTTGACAGTAATGGACAAAGTTAATGACAAATGGGAAGTAAGTTTACAGTTCCTAAGATACTATGCAACAGTAGAGTACTCCAAATATTATGCTGAAAATGTAACTCAGCGTAGTAGATATCTGAAACAGGCAGTGGTGGTGATAACTCAGCTTTGTAAATATTGGACACAGGTGTTGCTAATGATGTCTCAATCTGGTAATAATGACTGGGCTTAACAGACTAATTACACAGATTTTAATAGTGATCACTCAGAAGATACTGATTACAACAAAATATAATTGTCATTTTTCTTTGAGATTCTTATTCCATTAAACCTGTACAGTACGGGTATATATTTACCCCCTAAGTACAGGGTGCATAATTAAGAATTACACTTAGGTTAAGTATTAACCTGTAGGAACAATTAATGCAATTATGCCATAAGTTACACCACAAATGGTATAAAAAAAAAAATCAATCAATCAATCAATACATAAGAGTTATATTTGATATACTTATTAAAAATTTGATGTGCAGTAGTTTCTTATAATTTACATAAAAAAAATGATATAGATCAATCTACTTAAGAGTTCTAAACAAGTTGGTCTTCTAAAGGTACCCGAAAGTGGGCAACTAATTTTCCAAATCCGTAGTAAAATTCAGGATTTCTTACCACTCAGTTCATATTATAAAGCCATGTCATTCAGCTAACGAGCCGATCAGTGGTGAAGAGGATAAAAGTGAAACAGAGATAATTGCTAAGTTCAAATTCAGAAAATACTCTGCTTTCCAGTTTGCACATAGCTAAAACCGAAAATACTCGAATACTGTACAACACTGCAGTATATCTAAGAACTAATGTATAAAAGCAAAGTAACTAACCTTTCTTATAGCTCTGATGGCAGCTTTGTGCTGGCTGGTTAGTTGAAGAACCCGAGGCTGGTTATCATCCTCATCTACAAGGAAAATCACATTTTGTGTACAATGCAGCAATTTGCTTCTTCTTAGAAGAACATTTGCAAAAAATTTCACTTGAAACTTTTACATCATGAAATTTGTGCAGCATTCTATTCAGTAGTTTTAAATACTGTACAGCATAAGGTAGTACTGTACTGCAGTGTAAGCCTCACACCAGGTGGAGTTGCTAGTGTTCTTGAACACAACATGCACATCACATAACCAATCCATGAACTCTGCTGGCCTTCTCCAAAAGCAGAATGCGATTATGTGGTGGGAGAATAACATCAGTATGCAAAGTGTGATAATTTTTTATTCAACTTACTAGTGAAAGAAACACTCCTGGCCAAATACCATAATTTTAGCCACATTCACTATAGTGAGATCCTGAACAAAAGGCACTCAACAACAGTCTGTGCAGGTAGTTTTCTTAACCCGTTTTGCTCCGAAGGGGCCAATAAGCCTGTAAACCCCCTATGAGCCATATTTTGTGTGTATACTTGGCAAGTGGGATACGAGTGTGTCGGGTAATATGACTAGTGGGCTATCAATAAGAGAGAGCAGCGATTCACAAATATGTACCACGTACATCCTCTGGTGCACTGCTTGGTGTTCTTGGATGTACTGTACAGGGCACCTCCTCTAACTGTAAGGGTTAAGTGTCTAGTTCTAAGATGAGTTTCAACAACTAACAGTTCATGGTGAACTTGTACATATTCACTTTTAATTTGTAAGGGACATACTCTATATGATACAGTGCTGCATTTCTGCAGCATTAGACTCTTTCAGCATTCAAATAACATATTAAAACTCATCTGTATTGCTTTTATTAATTCAGGGAAGTCCTACACCTATGAGTAATATTAATAGCATACTACAGTATACTGGTTACATCAATACCTTTCTTATCAAATTCAGGATGTGAAATTCTTTTCCACATAAGAACATCTCTTCCCAAAACTATACTGCAGTGTCATCTACATGTCATTACCGTGGGTACTACAATACCAGTGAGGTGTGTATAATTTTTTTTTTCTACAGCTGGATAAAGTGTCCTATTCTAAACTATTCATGGGGTTAAGTACAGTATTCATCTGCACCATAATAAACACTGATCTCTTAAGTTTTGTATTTTGTACTTTTCACACCTACTTCAAGCACAGCACTTTATTTTGTCCTTAAAGTGCAAATACAGTTCTATTTTCTACTTACAAAGAAAAGCAACCTCAACTTTTGAATTTGTATTTCCAGTTGTGCATTGTCTTGTAATTCATAGCTGCAGTTTGTAATCTACATGCTCAATGTTGTAAATCTCATACGAAATGTCTCTGTAATCCATGTTCTGTGCATCATTGTATTTAAGAAACATTTCACAGATTCTGTGCTTTATTATGCTTGAGTAATGTGCTTTGTAATCCTTAGATGCTGTGCTTTGTAATCCTTAGATGCTGTGCTTTGTAATCCTTAGATGCTGTGCTTTGTAATCCTTAGATGCTGTGCTTTGTAATCCTTAAGGTGCTGTGCTTTGCAATCAACAAAGTGTTGTGCTTTGTAATCCATAGGTGCTGTGTTCTTGAATTCTTACATACCATGCTTTATCATCCTTATAAGCTGTGCTTTGGAATCCTTAGGGTGCTGTGCTTTATAATTATCAAGTGTTGTACTGTGTAATCTTCAGGAGCGGTGCTTTGTATATCTAAATTGCAGTGCTTTGTAATCCTCAGGTGTAACATTCTGCCATCCTTGGGTGGCATGGACACCCAAGCAGTATTTCTTTGCAACACTTAGTTGAAATAATTTCTGATACTTTGGTGTAATAAGTTAAACTGCATCACTTAGGTTTATGAATACCAATACTGTACTAATTGATTGACTGACTGACAAAGAACTTTTTGCCAGGCTCATGGTGACCATTAAGTGCAGACACAACTTGTGACCAGTTCTGAGTCACCCATTATCTCTTAAAGGCTTTCTAATAGTTATGACACAAAGGTTATATTATGTCAAGACTGTTACTGATCCATACTTTGTACAACTTACATTGAAGATACGACTGTCTACAGTGTACGGGATGACCACACTGACATCTAATCACATCTACTTACATCTCATTCTCAGATTAAGTAGATCTTTGTAATTTCGTTTATAATTACAATTCTGATTCTTTGGCAAAGCATCTAAGTACAGTGGTCTTAACTGCATAGATACTCGCTGACCTCTGGTGGGTGATCGTGAACGTCGAGGGGAAGGAGGAGCGCCTCCAAATTCCTTCTGCAACAGGTTGGCGAGAACAACAGGAAAGTGAGATGGATCTTGTTCCACTGGAATACCATCTGTGGGTGTATCATTCTCGCTCAGCACCATTGGAGTGAGGAAAGCTGCAGCAGCAAGACGAAGGTGGACTGAGGGAAGGAAGAATCCTTGGGGTCACTTTTCTCAGTAGCAGGGTTGTAGTTCACCCTTCATACCTGGCTGGATGAGTGACATATTATCCCTGACTAGGAGAATTTTACTTCCAACATGTATGGTTCTCTACACCAACCAATTCTTCTGTATGTAATATCTGCAGATGACCATCCTCTTGATACATTACATAAGATATTTGGGAACGAAAAACAACTAGTAGTGCACATAAACATTTGTGTTTAGGTTCTGTTACAATAACGATGATACCGAAGGATAAGTGATAATACTATGAAGTTTTACCAACATTCTGTCGCGATGGATGAATGGGTCCCTGGCATCAAAGGGGTAATGTTAACATTACACAAAAAAACAAATATTAACAGCTTAGTATAGCTCATTCTACTGCAATATGTTAGAGTTATTATGTTACAGAAAAACTGCTTGAGTACTAATACTTACTGTACAGGGTGTACAGCTTGTACATGAGACTGAATTCAATAATCATATCTCTGTTAACTCACCTTTCACTTGTTGACAAAACCCTGACCATCATACAGTTCAGTACTCTTAAATCACAACACCTAGAAGATGACTCCTCTTGAATAGTTAAATCTATCAATTCTATTTTTCACACTTTGGGAATGAGGCCCTATAATCCACGTGTTATAAATGGCAAATAAAAGGGGTAAAATGTGTCAAAGCTTCCTAATTTGAGACTTGATATGTAGAGATAAACAAACAAAGTTTCCCTTTCTCTACATGTAGAAATTGCTCTGGGCTCAATATTTTCACTCTACAGTCTCTATGTTTAGGATCTAAAACTACACGTACCATCAGAATTTTTCTTTGTTAAGACTGCATCCGAAGATTCTTTGGAGACGGAATCTTCACTATGACTCGCATTTAACCTGAAAGAGGAAAACTATCTAAGTAAATAGTAAGGTTTTCAAACTTTTACCTTACTATGAAAGTCCTCAACAGCAGCTTGATTTCTTTCCTATGGCAGACCATATAGGTACCTTTAGCGCTACTGTAATAAAAACCTCCATCTACAGGAGCATGGTACAGAATTTTTGTAGAGTTACAATTATCTGTATAATACTGATTCGGGTCCAAGCCTAAGCAAAGAGCACTACTGAAAAGAAGCCTCTGATGGCTTGGTTGAATTGCCTTACTGATTACCAATGTGTATACAGTACTCTCCCAGTCCAGGTACATTTTTTGCATATCTGCACTGTGTCTATATTGCTGCTGATTTTAGGCAAATCTGTATGACAATTTTATTGAATTAAAGTTAACTGAACTGAAAAAAAGTTTAAGGTGCATAATTTCTGGAACTGTACAAGCTGTAATTGTCAACTTTGGAAATGGTTTTCACTGTCTTTTCAAATATAAAACACTGTTCTAAAATCTCAAGAGAGTCTATCAGAGAAAATGGAAGTAAAGCTCATAGAAAACACAAAGAATTTCGACAGATGAATATACAGGTGCTCCTCTACTTACGAACGAGTTACGTTCCTGAGGCTTGTTTGTAAGTCCAACTTTACTCTTCTAGATACCAAACATATTGTAAAAAATTAAAAGATTATGGATATTTAGTACAGCTATACCCTTTAATACAGCCTTAAAACCTGGCTCACTCTTCTCCTCTTAGGTAATGTTTGTTCTATCTGGGATTTTCTTCAAAATAATCCAGTCTCATCCGCATTAAACACCTGTTCTGGCAGGTACCCCCCTCAGTGATGATGTTTGTATCTCTGAACGTTTGTAAGTTGAATGTTCTTAAGTAGAGGAGCACCTGTACAGTACTGCATGGGAATGGAGGAAAAGCAATACTGTACCATATTAGTTCCAAAAAGATTCATCCATGGGCTGGAAAATGAACAGATATACTGTACAAAAACAACAGAAGTGATCAAGAAACTTCACAAAATCTTTAATTAATGAACAATTATATATATTTTGCACTTACCTATTAGAATTTACAAGATTTTCTAGCGTATGATTAGAATCTGTATGTCTGTTTTTGATTGAAGGTGAATGAACATTTCTATGACGGCGAATCGTTGGTAGTCTAGTAACAAAGGATGCATTGTGTTTGAAGCTGTAAAGAGAAAGTCTTAATTAATTACAATCTTTATATGCTAGAATCTCAACTTACCATAAATATTGTCTGAGAGAGAGGTAAAACGTCAACTATGACCGTTGGAAAGCATTGTCAACTGGATAGTGATAGTGAGCTTATGTGATGGTTAAATATATTGCAGCTTGGTATCGTACATCTTAATCAAGTACTGTATTACACAAAGAGAAATAAATATTTGACTAATATGTGCTGCATATGACAGTAAACAATTGGTGCAAGTTTTAAAACTGGTCACATCAAAATACATTTAAAAACACACAGATAACTCGTTTTTTTTTCTCTCATGGAATTTGATACTACACTTGACATATTTAAACATCTTTCTTATAGACTAGCAAAAGCATTGCCATATGGGTTCCTGAACAGTACAACAAGCATAAGCCCAGCTGGATTTCTGCTCAAAAGCCAGTCTCTCAAGAGTCAAGTCATGAGTTTTTGACATTCCTGACAATAACAGGGTTTCCTCTGCTATGCTAAAGGTATGGAATCAGCTAAAAAGCATGTGGTATGAAGGATATGAAATTATTTGTCTGTTCCATGCTCTTTTATTTTGAGGTGACTTTTCTCCTGATTGTCATAGGGGAAGAATGGTACACCCTGTAAAGGAGACAAGAACATTATTAAACTCTACAGTAGTGATCAGGGGATGGGAGATGCATTGTTGACATCTGTGATGTAAACAGTCTTACCAGCAATTATAAAAAGACGTATCACTGACAATGCAAACGATGAGACTAACTATTTGTACAGAAATAATTCCAGCTGACAGGAGTATCTGAACTGAACTGAGACATTATGCCATGTCTTGAGTTTATTGAATTATCTGTAATCAGCTTAGATGTATAATGCCAAATCATGGAAGCAAGTTATATTTTCATGCTTCTCCCATATTTCCTGGTGACTACCCAAGCTGACACTAGCACATGATAGTTCAAATACACCTAAGACAGACTATAGAATGGAGAAGTAGAGTACTGTACTGTACATTACTGAAGAAGTCGTCTCAGGGGCTGGTGATGAAAATGCTGGCAAAAGAATTGGTGCAAGTAAAAGCAGATGAAAGAGCAAGTCCCATGTGTACATAAACAAAGGCTGTTTTCACTACTTTCCTCATTTCTATTTGAACTTTAGAGACAAAAGAGAAAGAATTTGTCGTAATTACTTTATACAAAAACTCACATAATTAAACATATGGACTACACAAAGGCCATAATTATTTTTGTACACTTAAATGGCATCTTATACGTAATGGACTCAATTCAAACTTTATAGATGGATTTCAAAATTCATGATTTTTCTCAATATAATGCCAATGATGAAAGTGGTACACACTCAAGCAGTTGGCACAAGGATTTTGCCATACCCTTATAATAAAATTTCAATTAAAAAACATTTGAGATTATGTAAACTGTATTGGGTGTACAGTAAACAAAATACTGTAGATGAAGTACTATATTGAAAAATAAAAATTGAATTTCTAAAATTGAAATGTCTCGCACACACTATGCTATAAATTCAAGGATGATCATATCTTAAAATATGAATAATTCACAAACATACTGTACCTTATAATATTATTGTTCACTTTACTGAAATAGAGTTTGGCCAAAAATGTAGTTGATAATACCTAGTGGGTTCCTTGCAGTGTATTTTAGATGTACTGGTCTACAACACACAGGTGACACAATGTGGGAAAGAAAAACTCTAATCTGGCCATCCTTCAAAAATTAAACTTCTTTCTCTTTTAAACACTCATACACACATTCAGAAACATTCACACGGAAAGTATAGGTAGGGTAGTTTTTGCACAATAAGCATGGTACAGTACCTCGTATAAAAAAAATAAAGACCATCCGCAGAATGACTCAAAACATTCATACCTAGTTAAAATGCAAACTATATTCTTTATCAAACATTCAAGACAGTCCCCTTCAGGAGCCTTCCAAACATTAGTGACTTCCACAGTATTAATAAACAAAGGATTGATCCTGAAATACCTTCTTCTGGCAAAAGCCTATAACCAGGTGGCTGTTCTTGGCAGATCAGGGTGATGTATTAACCAAATGGTTAGATCAACCATCACCAACTCCCCATCATACCCATTATCCCAAAACTGGGGAGATCAGGTGCATGAGTTGGCCTCTGGAGACAGAAGGCTTTATACTACTGTTATTTTGTGACTGGGACAGAATACTAAGCTAGTCTGCAGAACCACTCTCAATGGTGTATGGATAAGAAGTAAGTGAACAAAAGGTGACTGTTTCTGAAAAAAAAAAAAATGGAGTCTTAGTATTACTTTGGCAAGAAATATTCTTAATGGACAGACACTGCTGCTATAAGGCCTTATGTCTCTAGAGAACAACTTTTGTACTTGATCTCCCCAATTTTGAGCTAAGGGGTATGATGGGGAGGTGGGGGATGATTTGAGTAATTACTGGGTTAATTTTCTATCCTAGATTAAATGATTGGCGATTGTCCAAAGGTAACAGAATGCTTTCAATTGGCAGTCTATATTACAAGGAGTCCCTTGGTTGAGGGTGTTCTAGAAATACTGTAGAGGCGACTTACAAATTAATATTTCACACAACTGCTTTTGTTGTTGCTAATCTGTGCCTGAGAAGATAATTAGGTTAAATGGTATTCTTTATATGCTGTATGTCACACACACATTAACATGCAAACACATGCATGCATGCATTCATGCACATACACACACAATCACACACAAATACATATGTACAGCAGCTAGACTTCAACTTATTTGATTTACCATATACTCTCCAGTAGCATGTGACCAAAGTTTCCATTGTAATTTTTTTTATAAGTACAATACTGATTATGAGCCCATACCTGACCCTCCCCAATTCATCTAGGCTTGGGACCAAACAGACTGATACTAAACAATCATGGCTACTATTGCCTTACACTGTTGATAAAAAATAGACCACTTTGAGAAGAAGGATGAAGGAGCACCATGAAAGGCTCCTAAACATAAGGGGAACCATCAAGCATCCATCAGATCTATGGACATGTTATAAATTCTCATTCTCATGCTTATCCTAATCTGCTAATTGTTAGTCATCTGACACTTTTGATTCTATTTGATCTGTAACCCTAATTTAAAAAAAAGAAGAAAAAAGGTTCCTAATTCCCACTTACAACCTTTCTTGACTAACTTCATACACCCAAGGGTAACTTTCTCACATTTTGAGAAACAATAAAAATCTACTCTAAATAAATGCATCCAATTTCAGTTCCTAATATTCCTCAGGCAGTAGACTCTCTTTCTACTTTTCCTCACTTGTGGAGGAATAAGCAAGAGGGTCCACTTAATTCTCTTTATGTAATGACATAAAAATTCAGCAGGAATGTCAGTAGGCACCTGCAGACCCAGAAAGGGAGAGAGAGGAGTTACAGCACTAGACTTTTACAAGGCTCTGAAAATTTCTTGTGTAATCCCTGCTATAAATTGAAACAAACAAATGGGGCCTGACAAAGAAAACATAAGTGTATATATATATATATATATATATATATATATATATATATATATATATATATATATATATATATATATATATATATATATATATATATATATATATATATATATATATATATATATATATAATTACTCCCTTGTTCTTGATCAAAATCCTTGAACAAATTCTCACTACATTCATTAAAAACCTAATCAAAAGGAACCCTCACTCCTAAAAGAACTACAGTACTCCTATACTATACAGTACTGAACTCCTATTCATATACTACACTAGCATCCTTATCCCATCCATGGAGGAGAAAATTGATTAAAATCTGTGTCCAAAACCTTTCAACACCAAATGAATTCAATAGGCCTAACCAGCACTAATTACAGGTACAGGTACTGCACGATACACTTGCAAGGAAGTGATCAATTAAATACTGCACTCTTGTTAGTATAGTAAGTGGAATATTAAAAACCATATTCAAATTACAGTATAACAGTAATTAGAACATTGAGTATCAAGACATGAATATATCATCTGGATGTAAGGTTAACAAGTCACCCATCTGCAAAACAACTATAAGGTACTGAATTCTAAATTGACAAAATATTTCAAATAATTAACTGACAAAATATTTCAAATAATTCAAATCCTTAAGTTTGTGATTACAGTACTGTACTACTAAATGAATGAATGTGCATATTATTTTAAAAATCCATCTATATAGTAACTGGGACTATATAATATAGCCACAGTAATCATGATCAGACTTTAATGGTTCATGGTTATCAATATTGACCAAAATCAGTTGCTGGAAGTATATGTCAAAGTTCCAGTACAACATAATAATAATGGGCAAATCAATGGCAGTTCAAATTTTGTCAAAATGATATTACCATTTTATTATAGTCTAAACAATCATTTTTTTTCCCTTACAGTAACTACTTAAAACATATAAAACAATCATAATGAAGAGAATCCATATACTGTATAAGAAATTGTCTAAGTAAGCGAATGAACCAACAGGCAGAGAAAATGCTACCGGGTACTGCAATAGCCTTACATTCGGCCCGGAGACAGCCTGATCGAACTCAGTTGTCTCCTGTAAGTTTTGGAAAAGAACATTTAACAGAACAGTGCTCACACCACTGACTATGCAACCACATCTTAAACAACAGCCAAGGTAAAGAAATTGAATAATTATATATTAACCCATCTTAAGCGAAAAAAATTATATTTAACCCATGCCACAGTCAAGCTTGAATCACAGAAAAGTGATCATCATTCAGAATTGAAATATGGAATAATCTACCTTTAACGAAGTTAAATGTTTACTCTCAATTAATGTGCGAGTCTTTTTTTTTATATCATAGAAAAAGAAATAAAACCACTGAGAATAACCTTAATCTTTAGAAAATGTCTTTAATGTACAGTACAAAGGCCACATGTCAAATGAGATAACAAGGATTTTCCAACAATGAGGCAAAATGCTCTCTAACTAACTGAAAATTCTACAGCCACACTATATGGTGCTCTACCTACTAAACCTTGATTGTTACTAAAGATAATGGTCAGATGAGTGCAACACTGCATGGAGGTTAGGGTTGGATTAATTATTTCTAAAGCCAACCAATTATCTAGGATACTAACTACACTGACAGACCGTAAGTACCTGCATCACTATAGCACCATCAAATTTATCAAGGTACATTGGTACTGTATTACAAACTCTTAGGATGAAATTAAATTTTAAATTCTTTCTGGATCACTTTAAACATCAGAGATGAAAATCACAACAAATACTGAGCAATAATAAATAAATAAATTATAATAATAACAACGATACTACTACTAATAATAATAATAAAATACCTGTACCATATTCAAGATAATGCAGCAAAATGAAAAAAGGGTGAAACACACAAGCCACAAATGCCAAGTAATTTTGATATTTACGGTCTGCAAATCTCTAAGACCTTTTCACACATGAAAACAACAATAAGGCATTGGCCCACAGATTCCTTGAAGATCATTGAGGAGTAATGATTTTCTTTGTGTGTTCTCTGATGATATTTTGAACTGAATAAACAAATTTGTCTGTTACATATTAGTGTGTTCAGTAACATACCAGTATGTCAGGGAACAATCAGCATTCACCAGGTAGATTAAGGTGATAATACCAAAAAGGATTAGTAACGAACAAGAGCCACAGAGTAAACAAGGTGCACAAGATACAGACAGAGGAACACAAAGAAAAGGAGGAAGTGGAAAAAGATCTGTGAAGAAAAGGATACAGTATATTTATTTGGCTGTTTTACCCTGCAAATTCAAATTAGCAATTATGATGAACAGGTGCAATACCTGTATAGATAACTCCTCCTGTGGTATGGAGCAAAGAGGGTACTGGACAATACTTTTACAGCACATGGATGAAAATTATTCCTCAACTGGTAATTCATCTAATCTGAGCTCCCATGTGTGTGTGTGTGTGTGTGTGTGAGGTTTACTGTATCCACACACACACACATTTTATCCCTTCAACATATAAACTGCTAAATTCTGAGCAAGGGTAAAAGAACCAATAAAGTACAGCATATATATGTTATGTAATGTATAAGTATTAAAATGGCAACTTGACTCCAAAAATTATGAAGTACTGTATATCATTTGGGGAATAGAATGTTAAAATGAGTGCAACAGGAATCAATTAAAACAGTCCTGTACAGTCTGCTCCGTGGATTAACACGATTTTAACATGAACAGAAAACATCAGGTGTAGGACTCCTAATATAGTAGATTATAGTCTACATTTATAAGATTAAATTATGGTAATTTTACAGAGACTCGGGTAAAAGATACAACTCACTCAGAGAAATACAAGATAAGTATGTGAGTATTTATCAAAGATTCTTATTGTTTGTTGAGGGCGAGGGTCAGGAGTACTTACATTGAAGAAGCATTAGTGATCTTTTCCTTTTCCTCGATCTTGATGCTGACGTCATAACACAAAGGTCATGTGATATATGGGAGTGTGGGATGGGAAGGAAGTGGAAGGGAATATGGGAGAGGAAGGAAAGAGAAAAGAGAAAGAAAGAAAATGTAGTTGCAAGCTTATTTTACAAAGACAAAATTTTGAGGAAATTCCTGCATATGACTGTTACTTAAATGGCTAAGTCACATTATTATCTATACAAAAGAAATCTATTTTCCCCAAATATCTTAAGGAAGTCCATCACACATGATGGTATGTCCTCGGTTGAATGGATAACAAGAAAACACAGAAAATACACTACTGTACCTCTTTGTTGCATTCAATTATGTGACCTTTCAAAATGACCAGAGTACAATACATCATCAGAGGAAAATGATTTTTGTGATACATTACTGACAATCAAGGACCTGCACTATACTTATTCTTTCCTCCCCACCCCAGTAATTCACATTAATTTATAAATATTTTTTTTTTTAATAAATCTTCCACTGTTAAAATTTACCCACTGCTGTTGAAGCCATACTAACTAGTGTCTATGGACATTACAGTATTTTCACTTAACAAAATGAGGACATTAACACAATGTACTGTAATGAGTGACATATTGGAGGGTAATGATAAATGGATTATTGTGAAGTGTCAGTGAACTTTTGGGAATCAGTGTGCAAGACACCAACAGTACAGATGACATACAGTACATTCAATATTGATACTAACATCTATTATTATCACACATTAACGAAATGTAAATCAGAAATTATCATTCAACAGTTACAGAAAAAGTTCCCTCAACAATTGCAAACAGTTAGACACAAAGTTCCCTCAACACTTCTTGAAATGTTGTGCATCTACTTGAGGGTTATGTAGGTAATGAGGACTAATATTCTAACATCTATTTACCTAGATATTCTGTGTTACAGTACTGTATTATAATGAAGTTTTCCATATTGTTATTCTGATATACAGTGACCCCTCCATTAACGAACTCAATCCGTTCCAGAAGGTCGTTCGTTAACCGAAACCATTGTTTCAATGGGTTTTTGGGTAATTGGTTCCAGCTCACCAAAAATTTCCTAAATTCAACAAAAATGGTAGAAAAGTTCACTTACTTTGAGGTGTGTATGTAGAAGGCTCCTGGATGATGATGATGATGATGATGATGATGATGATGATGATGGGAATTAGAATGGGGGTGGAGGAGAAGGAAGAAGAAAAGGCATTGGGGTGGAAGAGAAGTCACCCCATGGCACCATTTCATCCATAAAATTTTAGTTCTCTTGGTGTATTTCAAGATTATTTTCTTTAAATCAACACTGCACTGCATTATATATTGTCAATATGTAAAATATATTTCAAAATGACCAATAATTTGCTTGGAAACACAGAAAAAAAGCGTTTAGTTGAAGAGAGTCTCAAGCAAGATGTTACCTCCAGTGAAAACAGAAAGAGACTAACTCCTGTTTGCTGTGTTAAGAGGCTGGATGCCGCGCATTAAACTAATAACTTTACCTTCAATTATGTTCAATAATTGTTAAAATGACTAAAAAATTGAATATTAAACTTTTAAAATTATTGAATAGTACAAACTTCTTGATATTTACTAAAATAGTAAGGAATTTAAGCCCTAGAACCGATTACTGTATTGGCGGACTGATATTAAAGCTGGTTGCCCAGTCAGTGCAAGCGAAAACATGTTGAGGTCGGTTCGTAAGAACTTCGTTAACCGAATTTTTTTTCATTAACTGAATTGAAGATCCTTATGGAAGGCAGTTCGTTAATCGAAATTACGTTAACCGAGGTGTTCGTTAAACGAGGGGTCACTGTAGTCTATACTCAAAAGAAAGGTTTATTGGCTAAAAACCAATAAAATATGTAACTCACAAGTAGCTGTCAAATATTGCCAAGTGTTAATGAAACTTTGGCTGCATTTATTAACATGAATTAATTTTTGCTTAATATTGATATAGCCCCTGATTGAACTGAGAAGTGAAACAGTGTAAAGGAATTATCCCAGTAAAAAGTTAAAGCAGTCATTCACTCGGATATTATCTGATTTGTTTATCAATTGCTTTTGCTTAAAAGCGTAAGAAGTTTCTCCCATTGTGCTCCATACTGTACAGTACTTGAATGGCATATTACACTGTACATATGATTGAGTTAATTTATAAACTTCTGAAAATAGGCCTGTAAATTCCTATCTATCTAAATTACCTTATTCTATATACTGTATTGTACATGGTGTACATCAAGACTCTATTATGTGAAACTGAAATGTAGGTAAACTATACAAAACTAAATGCAAAATTCAGTGTTGAGAAAGCAATAAATATCTGTACAGTATCAGCATTCAAGAGGAAAATGCATATTTCTTGAATCTAAAATACCAAAAAAATACAGTGTTCACTCCAAAACAGAGTCAATGTGTGATAAACTGTATGATAATTAAACGGACTAACTGGGGAGCCCAGGTTGTTTCAACAAGAAGTGTTACATATGTCACAATCTGTTTTGGGTCAACTTAGGCTAACCCACAACCAGGAAGTAACTAAAACTCCACCTGGTCTGAGTCAGCTTGAATCAACCCAACACTAAGAGCTAAAATAAACAACTTGATCTAGGTGAGCGACAACTGTCTAACACAGTAATTAGAATATATTACATAACAAAAGTCAACAAGGTCAGGATCAGATTAAGAAGAGCAAAAAATTAAGTGAAGTAAGAGGGCACAACCCAATCTGGAGCAGATGAAATAAACAGTCGGGGAAAAAGCCTTCTACTTAAAAGTAAACATTTACATCAAGCATGACTTAACACAAGATTAATTGCCACAGAGTCTACTACTTATAGTTACAATATAATGTGCTTAATTTATAACATATTGTATACATGCTGAGTGACAACCAAATTCTTAAAATTTTAAGACCTCAAGAAATCTTGCTTGAACTGAATTTCTTTACTTTAATTATGAAAACAAGCATGATACTTTTAGCACAGTGCCAAGAAAAATATTGCTTGAATGACAATGGGCAACTCAAGAAGCACGGCTCAAGAGTTAGGAACACTGCATTAAAGCTAGCTGTGTATGAAAAATAATGGCATTGTCAGAAATATCTAATTGATGGTTAAACCCAGGTCACAGAGCAACTTACAAATACATGCTTCCCTCATTTCTTAGATTAGTATCTAAATGTTTTTTACTAGCAAGGGTTCAACAAAAGGAAATGATCGTTTGTTTGGCCTAAACTCTCACAGCTGTTTTTTAGTCGTTCAGGAGCTAGGTGAACACATTCGGGAGCTGGCTCCTTACACATAAATGGGTTTCTTTAACACGTTTCCGAGGCCTCTCACACCAGTCGTACTCATCAGTGATGTGTACTACTGGTGTGAGAGGCCTTGGAAAGGAGTTTAAGAGACACATTCACGGATGGCGAGCTAGCTCCAAAGCGTGTTTACCTAGCTCCCGAACAACTAAAACAACAGATGTTAGTGGGAAAAAATGCTTATCTTAAAATAAAATTTCCTTTGCTAAAACTTTTCAATAAATTCCAAAAAATGCCAACATGCAAGACAAAATAGGAGAAATTTTGATGCAATGAAATATACAGTCTACTTCATGCCTAATTCAAAGACAAATGAATAAATATATTATTCAAGATGATGTCTTCCTTCTAACACCACCCAAAACTTCTTAATATTAAAAGCAGTAATTCTAATATTTCACATTGAAATATATCTGTATACTCTCAATGGATGTGTAAAGAGACTCATTTTAATTGGTTTGGACTGCAGGAGCCTGTAAGTTGTCAAGTCCATAAAGTGTAAAAATATATTATCTGAGGGGAGGTCCATAGCCTAATATAAACAACCTTTAGTGGCAGGGGATAACAGAGGCATGAAATGTGGAAGATGATGCAGAAGAAGGATGGAACACAGCTAAACAGAGGACACACCAAAACTAAATTAGTACGAGGAGAGAACAAAACTGACAGCAAACAAGATGAAGCAACACCATGTCAAGCGAAGATAATCTTATACACAGCTAAGAACAGTGTATCTAACAAGTCCACTCTGCACAACCCCTGATATATCATAAACAAGCAGACACATTGTTATCTACTATATAACTTCATCAGGCATACAGAGCTGCATTTACCATCACTGACATTCATGGCCTTACATGTCCATTCAAGAACTGTTCCAACTACGGAGTTGAAACGTTCACAGTCAGAAATAATGTAAAAAATAAAGTAAGGGTATTGTGTACCATATATGGGTACAGTATGTACAATATTCCGTACAGAAAATATGCTAAATTGCTACAGAAAAGGAAGACACACCAAGATATGTATCACAGTTCATATTTTTCTTTCATAAGGGTTACTATACATAAAGGAACTAGTCCCCTGTTTGGCCATTACCCAGTTATGACCATAAATTAAGTAATGATTTGTTTATGCCATAAGAATTACCATAGTTTGTACAGTAATCAATATTGTTTTTCTTATGTCTCTTAACTGAAGAAAAAAGAAAATCTGCTTTGGAAAGGTAAAAAAAAAAAAACTGTAGGTTCTGATAACATGACTATTTTTTTGGAGGGGACACTTACTAAAATCACAAAACAAAAGGAATACATTGCAACATAGACAATTACAACCAAGAAATAAGGTTGACATACACGACTATCCGTTAATATTCTGCCACAACAACCACAGCATGTCACTAAGTCCTGAGTTATTTTCTAGTAACTCTCATTTCTAAAACTATAATTCATAGAGTCAATCTCATTTTAGTACTGTACAATATAATTACCATAGATATGATTACAACACAACTGGTATCACTTAATGGGAATGCCAGTCACTATAATTCTACAACCGGATGAAACAATTGGATGACTAGTTTCTATACTGAAATCATTATCAGACACTACTAACATCATATACAGAGGGTCTATAATTATGGCACTATCACACACTACAATCACAGTATAACCTTGTACCATAATCCTCAGGATCAGATAGTGCAATCATACAATAACCTGGGTCTATAACAATACTATCAAACAATACAATCACAGTACATTCTAGTCTAAGACACAATACAATCACAGTATAACCTACAGTGGTCTCTTACAAATGTATGACTCATTTACATTTTGTAAATCTTTGCATTATTAATGGGTACCATTTCTTTAATGACTTATGATCGTCTAATAAATTTCTGGCTAGAGTCAGGAGGGAAATTTGCTCAATGACTTCACATAAAATGTGCACTTGAATACATTGAGGTGGATGTTGTTTGTCATTTACCTTTCCCTCCATCCAGTTGTCCTGCAAGCTTATTATTAGTGAGTCGATTTTGCCTTGGCAGCATTTCCTACTTAAGCAGTTTAGACTTCTCTCTCACAGCAACATGAATGATTCATTGTAGATAAGATATACCAAACTAGACCTACTATACCTACCCTAACATCCTATATGAGTTAAGTTTTATTTTTCATCTTATCCTATTGGTGGTTGGTGAGGAGAGAAAAGCAGTTACATGGAGAAAATGGTGATCTTATAAACAGACTTACAGTACAATATAATAAGGATAAAATCAAGAGCGCCTTTATTGATATTTGGTGAGACTGGGAACTTTCCAAAAGATCAGGTACGGCTACAATACAGTATATAATTTATCATCATAAAATGAACCAAACTAACCTAGCCTAATTAGTATAATAAGCTCAAGGTTTCTTCTATGAAGATTTTTCATTTGGTAACTCTTTTCCACGAGTCTGATGTCTAATGGACTACCCTTATTTTGGGGGACGCAGTACACATTTTTAAGGACATGAATCTAAACCCCAGTTTTCATAATAATTCAACTTTATTCATATTCAAATTGTGCAATTAAAGAAATTTTTTAAACATACCTTGAAGAACTGTAAGAGACCACTGTATAGTACTAAAATAGCGGCACTCAGACACTATAACCACAGTACAGTCTGACTTGGCACCCTATTCACAACATTATCAGACAGTACATACTATAATAGCAGAAATTAGATACTGTACTGTACAAAAGTTAATATAATTGTGAAGGGCAATCTACTACGGGGGATAAAATGCAGCAGTGAATTATAAAAATTAATGCTTTATTACTAAGGAAACAGCAAGATGGAGAGAGAGAGAGAGAGAGAGAGAGCCCTCATTTGTACGATGTTCTAACACTGACTGGCTAAGACGAGAATCTAACGAACAGGCATTATGTAAAGTAAAGTTCTTTGTTTTACCTGATTTGTCTCCTGGAAGTTTTGAGAGAAGGGAAAAAAATGGCTGATAAATTCAAAGAACCCCAAAATGATACATTGAACTTTGTCAAAACTAAGAAAAGATTTCTTTCTTCAAATGTCAGCGTTAGTAAACCGCATAAACAGTGATATACACTATTCATTCTATCACCAAAGTATGGCAGAAAATTTTGGAAATTTCAAAATTATGTATAATTCCGTATATACCTTAAGCCACGGAAAGATTTTTTTTTTCAAATGCCTTGACGATTTCACTGTTTCCCTCCAAACCATGAAACAAAAATCTGAAAACAATTTTAATCACTATATAATTTCACTGCTTTCCTAAATAGCAATGACACGTTAAATAATAACTTGGCTACATTAATTTATCAGTGAAAGCATCTTGAGACTTTCTATCATTAATAAAAAGATGCAAAGAAACAACAAAAATTGAAGTACTTAATGAGGATTGTCCTAATATCCAAAAAGACATCAGCAAACTACCATTTGACATATAGTATAAGTTTTAAATACAGTATATATTTTTAGAAATTTAAATATTAATGCAAGGATCTTTGATATAACTGATAATGCAAAATCTTTAAGTACGTACAGTAACACTAAACACTGAATTAGAGAGTGAACAGAGCACATTTGATTGTAGTGCAATGTATTTTCTCTGGATTTTATTATTTACACATACAGTAGAGGGGATTATATCTGGAATAAGTTTTATGGATGTCAACGCATTTTGGGAAGATTTTGAGATGGTAAAAATTATATAGCATGGCTACATAATGAATACAGTAAGGATTGTTAATTGATACTCTAAAAGTTAGGTTATATTAGAACAATACTAATATAGAAAAATATATGAAGTGGTGCATAAAGCCAAGAGTATAGAATTCCAAGATGAAAGGAGACCTAGATACCGTATTGTATAGCAAATAAAAAAAAAGGAGGAGATTTTTCACTGGAAAGATAGATAAACGAAATTATACAGCATATTATTTAAGGAAATGCAAATCAAATTGATAAAAAAATTATTTCCAAAACTTAAAAAGTATACTAATAAGAGGAATAGCAGCATCTAAAAAAGGAAGTGCAAAAATCATCTTGAGCATAAAAAAAGAAAAATTGTATTTAATATATTAGCATGGACCTCTGATGTTAGTTGCACATCTCATGATTCTGCTTTTTTGTTTAGATCAAATATTCCCCTTCCCCAATTGCTTTCATGGCCAATAAAAATTTACAAAACGGTCAAATACAGTAATTAACCTTTGCCTTTTCGAAATCATAGATTCAACTTCTAGTTGCTGTGTATCATTCATCCTGTGGTGTATTAAGACATACAGTAATCTATTGGAATTGAAGTGGCCATTTCATGAGATCTCCTGGAAATTAAATCAAGTGAAGGTAAAACTTACGAGGGTGGTGAAGGCAGAGGGACCTGATGTATCTTCCAGGTGGCGACGGACATGGAGTGCTCATCAGCAGCATAGCACCGCCATAAACACTGTATGAGTGTGGCTGCTGGCTGGCGCCGACGGATCATGTGCTTCTGACGCTGTTGCTGCTGTACTTTCAAGGCAAACCCTGAGCCTAGGATACCCTGTGGAGTGATGCAGTAATACATTAAATGAAATTACTCTACCAAGGTAAAACTTAATTTGGACCACATTAAGATTAGCCCTCAAAGCTTATTCCCTTGTGTGATTAAACAGTAAATGTTAACACCTGAATCAACACTTTCTGATGTGCCTGCAGTAAAGGAGTAAATAATCTACAGTACATTAAAAAAGCTATGAAATTTTTTAACAATACCTGAACAAGAATAAGTTAAGATACAGTGACCATTCATAGGGGATATATACAAGTTGGAGGGAAATTAATAATAATCTAATTGGAACAAAAGTTAAAGAAGTCACAAGTACAGAAAACTATCAGAGCTGACTTCGTTGAAGGAAGGATTGTGATCTCTAGGAATAACCTGCCACTGAATGTTCTGTGAACTTGTTTAAAACCAGACTCGACAAGCTGGCATTATGTTCAAGAACACGTACATGCCCAGTACTTCCCAAAAATGTGTACCAGAGAACAGCCCAACTGCCCGATTGGCTAGTGAGCTGACCTTGGGCGAAGAAGATAAAGTAAAGAAATTTGGAGGATAAGGAAAATATGAATGAGGCAATCCTCTAAATTTTTATGCAGGTCTATAAAACTTAATATAGCCTACTACTAATAATTATAAAGGAATACAATTCTCAGTAACACAGTACTGTACTAATATTATCAATAATAATTATACTGACCGCTGGAAGGGCGAAAAATGAGATCCCGAGAAGGGCACAACCTGAAGCGATGATCTTCCCCCGCCAGGTCTTGGGCACCACATCCCCATAACCCACCGTGCACAGGGTGATCTGTTGGTATTGAGAATGACACTGGGTGAACTGATGGTAATGAAAGTGATGGTGGTGACATTAATATCTGTAACAATAAACAAGATGAAATGGCAACAGGTGCGCGTGTTGAAAATTGTGTTACTATTACTGTACAACTTATCATGGTGATAGTGGAAAGGTTTTACTATCAATAGTAAAAAGTGTGTGATGGTGCAATGGGCACTGTGCAAGATGACAATAACAGTGAGTGGTAAAATTGGAGAAAATTGTATTAATATTAAGAACAACATGAGAGCAAAAGGCTATACTGTACTTCATCTCTTGTCAATTTTTTATGTAAAATTTAGCATGTACGTACAGGCTTATAATTAGCTAATAAAAATGACTACACTTTGTTGACACATAAGAGTGGATGTACAGAAGGTAAAACAACTATCTGTGCAGGTGGGGGTCGATATGCTCCGAAATTTTATGTGACTAGCGACAGCCCTCATATACCAAAATTTATCGTTCATGTTCTCATATTGTTTCCCACCAAGTATGCACAGATAGTTGTTTTAGCTACTGTACATTCTGATCCTGGGTATTGTGGGTCAGGTTTGGTCAGGTTATGAAAAGGCTTGTGTCAGGATCAGTTCGGATTCGGTTAAGATAGGTTGGGGTTTGGTTTGGTTTGGTTACTATTAGGTTACAGTAAGGTTAGGCTGGCTTCGACTAGCAGTGAGAGGGGTCAAGGTTAACGTACCTTCGAAATTCATTAAGTCAAGTTAGGTTGAGGTTGGATTAGTTTCAGTTAGGCCAGTGACTATATATTGAGTTAGATTCAGTTTCCTTGGGTATTTAGATCAGGTTAAGGGAGAAATTACATTAAGTTAAGGTTGGGTTTGTGGTTAGCTTACATTAGTAGTTTAGATAAGTTACCCGGTAAATACAATTTCCTTAAGTGCTCACGCCAGGTTAAGAGATAGGATACATCCAGGCCGGAGTAGACTAACCAAAAGCATTTGAGACACGAGGTACTGTATATAGAAACACGGCATCATCTGAAGACTTACCACCCCCCACCAGAGGGCGTCCGGGAGGTGTCTGAAGTTCTCGTTGTTGTCTTTTTCGACGAGGTAGACGAGGAAAGAGGAGAAGATGAGCCCCAGGAACCCTATATACAGCGTGGTGATCAGCTCCTGTTACACAAGGTAGGTTTTCTTTACTGAACTGAACACTAGTGATCATTATAATTAGGTCGTTTAACTATAGCCAAGACTGGAAACTTCCCACACATGTCAATATTCTCCGCTACATAGGCCCGCTACCTACCATAATGGTATGGATCAAATAATTACATAAACGGATTACAGGCTGATGCCGCAAAGTATCCGCCACCAATCACAAACACCTTTGCAATTACAGTTCCCATAAAAGGTCATTAAGATGCCACATTAAAACCTTCAGCATGGTTACCAAAATATTGAATCTTTTGTCTATTTCAAGTTTAAATTAATCAAAATATATATTTCTGGTCCCGGCCACCAGAAAAAAAAGTGATTATGCACCCAAGAAAGCATTAGCTAAACATGGACTGAGTTAAGGAGGAGAGATACAGTACGGGCTTTCTTTTGCTTCCAAATCTGTCGTGTATCAATCATTTAATAAGCTGTACTAACTGTCACCAATCAAATGAACCATTTCAGTATGTTTACTAATTCATGATCAAGTCTGGTTAAGTAAAGTTTCATATAATTTGAATTTAGCTTTTGGTACACAAGGAGGCTGTGTGCTGGTATTAGACTTGACCGCCATCACCTCCCAACAGTATAAAGTTAGGTACCCATTCACAAAAGGGTTGACTGGGGGGTGGCCAGGGTATGCACCAGATGCCTTTGAAACAGGAGGTGAGTGCTATGTCCACTCGGCCGCCACATCTTTTCAATCAAATTACCATATACCGTAATTAAAACTTATAAATATTTAATCACGTTCATGACGAGTTGAAGTTTAATGTTAAATACCTATTATCTGTGCAATTTCTGTAAATGTCAATTGTGTAGTCTAACAAAATTTTTGAAATTTATCGTTATTTTGCAATTACTCAATACTGTACCTATCTTCTATTTACCCCACTGTTCATATTCATAATAATAATAATAATAATAATAATAATAATAATAATAATAATAATAATAATAATAATAATAATAATAATAATAATAATAATAATAATAATAATAATAATAATAAATGGTTTATTAATAGAGTTGCAGCCAGTGGCTGAAAATATACAGACTTATATTTGATTTAGACATAATGATACTGTATGAGAAGTGCATCAGCTCTACACTCTACTAAAGACACCTATGTGTCTCATTAGTATTTATATAACAAAATATCAGTATATCATGTAAAATTCTACAGTATAAAAATAAGATGTGAGCCACTACAACCCGTAGAATTTATTGCCTCCAAACAAATGATATTAATTGTTACCTGAAAAGTTAACTTATTATGGATATGGTAATCTTACCTGTCTGTGGGCATAAACGACAGACCCTAACAGCTTCCAGGTACCTCCTCGTCTGTCCATCCGCACCATCCGCAAGATCTGAAAAAATCGGAGGCCGCGGACCGCCGAGACCACCTGGCCACCAGTCCCATTGGCCAGGACCACCACCGACGCCACGATGGTCACAATATCTGCAGGATGAGGGAAGGGTTAGAGGCTTGTCCACACCCCACTGGTGGAGCACGTTGAGCCTCTAACACCTTCCCTCCTCGGGCAGATATAGCCATCACCGTGACCCCGGTACTGGTGTGCTGCTGGCACAGGAGGAGGCCCAAATCTCCTTTACATACTAGACATACAGCCCAGTATGATAGGAAGTTTCTGTTTTAGTTAGCTTACATTTCACTAGACTAGATTTGGAATTATTCAAGCGGAAATAATATATGGAACCATGGGCGGATCCAGAAATATCCAATGGAGTTGTGGGTGGGGGTTACATGGTGAGCACTGCAAGCCCACCCAACTGGGGGGGGGCTGGGGGTGGGGGCATTGTAAGCCCCCTGGATTTTTTTTTTAAATCTGACCAATATCAAGGGCATTTTGAAGCTATTTTGAGGCCATGTGCACTTGATATTATGAGATATTACTTTTTACTATACAAAAATGCCTGAGTACAATACTGCATTAAAGAAAAAGTATTAGAATTTTCTGATGAAAACGGGGTCCAGAACCCCAGAGCCCCCTGGATCTGCCCCCTAATTCGAGTCTATTTCAAATCTTTCTGCTTCCATTACCTTGTCTGACGTTTATCAACCTCCAGTTCCTAATCATTCTACCACTACTGATTAAAATTAAACCACTATGAAAACGCTCAGCTTATCACTTTACCATCAATCATTAATTCAGTATTGGAACACTACACATTAATACCTTCCTCCCTCTTTATTTTTTCTTATACCTTTGCAACCCTGGAACCCTCTCCCCTTCACACGTATTCTCATTCTCAAACAACAATCATCCTCTCAAGTGTAGGGCATACAGGTTTGGGCTCAGGTGACACCATGACCCAGCTGCAGCGGGTGAAAGGCATGGTAAGTGAGGGATGAAGAAAGAGGGATAAAGCGAAAGGATATTGAGAAAATAAAACCAGAAACAAGAGATATATTCATTGATAAAGCTAGCAGGAATAGGAAATTAATAACATATTGGGTAAACAGAGACGTAAACGACTGCCTTAAGCCACTAACGAGCCAATTAGTAACGAAGAGGATAAAAGTAAAAGTAAAAAAATAAGAGAAACACCATAGCAAAAAAAAAAAGAAAACCGTGTTCCTCAAGAATAATACTTACACGACGAGGATGAAAAGTTTGTTGACCTAAACAAACTGCTGAAGACGTATATTGTTGACTTAAATGGCTAACTAGGTAAGGGAGATCATTAACCAAGGCCCCCATTTGGCTCTTGAGTCTTGGACACTAATGAACGTTCGCCTTTATGACTCTTTTTTGTTTCTTCTGGAATAATTTAACCCCACTGACTGATGACTTCACTTAATGTTAAATGTTTACTGATGGTATCTGATAATGACTGATCCCCCGAGTGACTGAACTGACCGATGACTTCTTTTAAGCTGACATTTCAAGGGATTAAAGTTTTACGTGTAGAAGACGTTTATAATGTATCTATGGGTGAAAAAAATCCACGTCATGCCATCTTAATATGTTTAAAAAAAGATCGGGGATAAATTATAATGGGTATCTCAGGACACATTTAAATTTGAGCACATGTTTATGGTCAGGGGTTTACATACAGTATGCCACTTAATTTTATGCTCACAGCTCCCTCCACACACACATACAAATAAAATGTCCGCAGAATTTAAACCCTTTCAACCTCTTAAATTAAATTGCTCTAATGACAAGAGTGAAGTATCATCCTCCTACTGGAACATACTATCGGACGCCCCAACTCCCGCCATTACTCACCACCACAAATACTTCCAGTCTAATTACCATCACGCGGGGGAAAAAAATTCAAAGACTGAAACTGCACCTTAAGGGGATAAAATTTCCAAATAAATGACCGTGACCCCGTTGAAAGTTGGGGCCCCCTCTGACCCTTTGTCCTTAGAGATTCTTGTTGTGTAGCTAAGGAGAGAGAGAAGAGGAGAGAGGGGAAGCAGAAAGGGAGAAGATGGAGGGTTGGACTACCACTGGTCGGGTATTTGAGACAACCTGATCCTTTTATTCTTCAATGGCCTTTGCTCATATGTTGTCGTTATAAATGGTATTATAAGATGGCGAGGGATTCACTGGGAAGACGAGAGGAGGATTAAGTACAGAAAGAGTGGTTGTGTATTGGGGTGTCGCTTCCTAGTGGGAGAAGGAGGATGAAGGAGAGGGCGATGTTTAGAGAAGAAAGAGAAAACAGACGACAATATTTGGGGAGTAAGGGGGAAGAAGACCACAGTGCTTGAAGAATAGTGAGAAAGGTGTGGAAAGAATAAATTTAGAAGTTAAAAGGAAAACGAAACAGGAGGAAAAGAGAAGAGACGAAGGAGGAACTTGATTATAGTACTTGTTTTTTTTGTACGTCAATCTATTTTCTTCCGTTTATTTGGACTTAATTCCAAGCATTCGAGGCCTCTAAACTATTAAGCCAAGAAAGTGCTATTTATATGGCATGTATATATCTAAAGCAACAGAAGAGATCACAAAAGGCAAACAGTAAAAGGAACAACTACAACAAAAACAACAACCACAGAAACAACAAAGACGACAAAGACACCGAAGAGACAGATAAAACAAAGGAAACAAAAGATAAACAATAAAGAGGAAGAAGCATAATGGTGCAACAAGGGAGAATGTTGTAGATAAGGGACAAAGAGGAACACGAGGAGGCCATCAAAGGGAAAACATTCTCCGTAAACATCTCGACGAGCTTGGGCGCAGGAGGGACAAGAGCCTGAAGGAGGGCGGGTGCAACACACCTCCTGACAATTGCCTTCACCAAGACATCAAAGGAGGGGCTGCTAAGAGGTTGGGTGATTCTAAGACACAGAGTGGAGGGAAGACAAGATGTAAGGGTGTACAAGACTGTCTATTCTTAATGTGGCTGAGAGTTTTTGAGACCGAATTCCTATAAACAAACTTAACTTGATGTTCAAAGAAGTATTTACTGTCCACTATCACCTTTTTATATAGTGTGACCATCGTGACCTTGGTGAGATGGTAAGTCAAGGACACAACGTAAAGATTAAGTTAGGTTAGGTTAGCATTTGAGTACTTTAATCTGCTATCTACCTTGTGCAGGTCGAGTCTCGTCTTCCCAGTATGAGAGATAATCCGGCTTGTCTCTCCCGTCTCCCCGGTCTCTCTCTCTTTCACAGTAATGTCGTTTATCGTCGTTTAGCAATTATTGTTTTTCTAATCGTCGTTTAACCCTTTGTAATGGTCATGATAAGAGCTAACCTGAAAACCTTAAGGATTCATATTACGCTCAAACGTCCACAAAACCTTCCGAGTCCCCCAGTGGAAACGTCCCCGTTTTCTCTGTTTCCCCCGCCTTTGTCTATGGGAGCAGACGCTGTATGCTGGGACCTGTTGCCATCCATTCCTTTGTAATCAATTTAATTTTGCTTTCGATAGCTGAGTCAGAGCATTGTTAGTGAAGATAATAGTAGAGAATGAAAAGGAGTTCATAGTCTCAATTTCAACGTCAGAGGGTACCGTAAATTAATTCATTGGAATAGGAGTAGCTGGACTCCCTGGCCTAGTTTGAGTGAGGGCGCCGCGGGCATTTTAACCGTTAGTAAGTGCCCGTCCCTTCATCCATACAGGTATGCCATTCCACGCTGTGTTGTAATTTGCCCTTCTTTAAGTGATTTGACCCAATTAATAGTTGATTGTGCAAGTGTTACAGTAACGTAGTTGATATGCTCTGAGTAAAGTCATATTTACGTCTTTAACGTCCCCTGAAACGTGTTGTTGTTGTCACCAGTTAGTAAGTGCCCGTCCCTTCATCCATACAGGTCCCTAACGCAGCCTAGGCCGTGTCTGTAGGGTGGATGTTGTATCCACTATGTCTGGGGACATGTCCGAGGTCCAGTAGGATCAGTTACCTTCGTGAGACCCGGCCGTCAGACACTTCAGACCACCTATAGCCCCCATAGCTGGCTCGTCTGGCCCTAACGCTCGGTCCACGAGGTGACCCTGGACCACCAAGCCACACACCACTACCAGCCCCCATCATTGGTGGATGAATGTCTACCTCAGTAGGGCTATATTTGTGTGGTGGAATTAACCCACTGGGATCTCCAGAGTTCGTCGGATAGTACTCCATGGTGGCTGGACCCCATGGCTGTTGCTTGAGTATCACTCCTGACGACTGAGTGTTGTAGTGGCAGTTGCTCTAATATGTATGGTGCTAAGTGACTATCCTAGTTGTGCTATTGAGTATGTCCACCCAGTAGGGTTGGAAGGGTATTGAATATGTCCACCCAGTAATGGTGTGAGTATGTTGAGCCTGAGGGCCTAGTAATAGATTTCGTCTGTTAGTACAAACCAATTTTTTCTTCTAATTTCATATTCATGTTTAAATAAACTTTGTATCTGTATAATTGTGTATATTATTTACCTACAGTATCTACCGTTATTTCTTCCCTATTGCTTGATACTATCATTACACCTACCCACGAGCCTCCTATCGTCACGCTACCAATGGTGATATATAAGAGTAAAAGGAATTGTTACTGGCACACAGGCCCTCATGAAGGGTGGCAGTAGCAGCCCTCATACATGGTGGCAGCTCAAGCCCTCATAAATGGTGGCAGCTCAGGCCCTCATAAATGGTGGCAGCTCAAGCCCTCATAAATGGTGGCAGCTATGGTGATGTAATGAACATAGTATCGAGTTGGGAGGAATGACTGTGATACTGTAGTTTAACTGAGTTATAACCATTTCTCTGTACGGGTATTTAATAACCATTCCACTGTAACTAATGAGTATTTCAGATTGCTAATAATTTTGTTCCATATTTTTCCGAGGTACAGCTTTTTGTGGTGGTTTGCAGAGAGAGTGAAATAAGTTCAAAGAAATACCTTGGAGTTAGGTTAGAAAAAGTCTTGTTTAAAGTAAAAGGAAACCTGCAACAATAATTTGTAGAGTGTGAATAAGGTTCATTAATATTGGA